GATCGAACACTAAATGTTTTATCAAAGGGCAAATATAGATAGCAGTTATTCGTATTCCTGTTAAACAAGTTCTTGCTAATGGTAAGACGGGAGGTTTAAATACTGGGGCTGTTCTTATTTTACCAAAGGGATTTGAATTAACCCCCCATCGTATTAGACAATCTGTCTTTTCAAGAGCTAATATTCTTGTGATGAGTCCTGTTTCTGGTAAGAAATTGAATTCGACGGGTTTCAGCCATTTCGTCGTGTCTCCGAATTTCTTCTCGAGCGAATTTGTCGTCGTTGCAGCCGGCCACGGTTGTTCGGCTTCAGTAGGAATGGCTTTAATTTTGTTAGGAATAAGTGCTGTAACTTTCATGGTTTGATACTCTCTGCCTTGCCCGTGCGTCGAGCCCGCAATTAGTCATGCAACATCAAAGGGTAAACAGCAACGCATGATGTACCCAGAAAGAGGAGAGAAACGTCTTAAACTAGAACAGGCATTTACAGGATACAAACTCCATAAACTATCTAGGAAAAACGAACAAAAGCCGGCTCGTTCCGTCAGTTTAACCGGATTAAATTCCGGTTTCTTTGATATGGTTTTCTCCGCCGGTCTCGACACGTCGGTTCGACTTAAGACTTCGGCATAATTTTGAAGATCCGTCACTGAAATCAGCGACAGAGTTTTAAGATGTGGCCGTGAGTGTGACACCCTTTCTCCTAGGAGCTGCCTCAATACGTGAAACGACGATGTCTCCGCAGTGATAATGCAAACGAAAGACATGGCGAAAGTGCAGAAGACAAAGCCAGGCGAAGTTCCTTCTCTGAAGTTGCTCTTGAACCGGATGGCAACGTATCTCAGGTACCTCATCCTCCCCGTCCCCGTCGTCCTCCTCCGCTTCGCCTTCTCGCTCCAGTTATCTACCAACGCACGCCGTGTTAGCACGCCGTCTCGATAGTGCGTAAGAAAAAAAAAATTGGGTTGTATAAGCTCGTGAAGTCTCACATCGGCGCATGCGGCGGGACGGGATGCCGCAAGAGGCGCAGCGGCTCTTCTGGCGGTGGAAGCTCCGGCGGCCCCACCGCACGCACTGCGTGTGCGTCTTGTTCCTCCTCTTCCCGAAGCTCGCCGTCCCCTTCGTCTACGTGGAAAAAAAGAAGTAAGGAAAGAATCCGCGCAAGAAGAAAAGCCATGCTCCATGTCACGACAAATTGAACACGTACTGATTGATCTTGCGAGTCGAAGGATGTCGCACTTACCATTTTCTGGGGGGCGGTCGACGAGGTGTGGCGCGACGCAGCGTCGAGCAAAGTCCCACGAAAATTATCGACGCCGCGTGGAATTTGGAATTAAGGCGCAATTTAGGGTTAATACCAAGAAAAATCATAGATTGATAGACTTGTGATAAATTTATCCCAAACTAATTTTTTTAACTACCAAAAGCCCCGGATCGATACATTTGTGACAAATTTACTCTCCGTTAAATTGGATTAATACCGCGAAAAATCACACACCGGTACACCCATTAACTGCCACGTGTCATCCAACTTAGAAATTTGACGGTAAAATTTAACGGAAATTAACGGAGGGTAAATATGTCACGGATGTACCAGTTTAGGATTTTTGATATATGTGTACCAGTTTGAGGTTTTTCATAGGATTAACTCAATCATTGAACCCCTAAAAGAGGAATTACACCATAAGCCGTTCGCCGAAGACATGTCAAGGCGGGTTGCCACAATACGATGCGACATGTCGCGATAGTGCATGCGGGGATCCTAACAAGTCATGTGCGCGGCTTCACGAGTCAAAATCGCATTGTGAATTCATGACTTCGTATTAAATAATGTTGTGTCTAAAATCGTGCCATTATCGGGATTTGTCCAAAAAGTCCTCAACTAATTGTACGGCGGTCGATTCAGTCCTAAACCTTTTCACTGTGCCAAGTTAATCATAAACTTTTCGATTGTGCCAATTTGGTCCTAAACTTTTCGATGATTTGCCATTTTAGTATTAAACTTTTTGACGATTTGCCAATACAGTCCTTTCAGCTTATTATCTAAATAATAGGTTTAGGATTAAATTGACACTTCTTCAAAAGGTTTAGGACTAAATTAATAAACCGTCAAAAGGTTTAGGACTAAATAAACACGATTGGAAGGTTCGGGACTGAATTTGCCGCCGTACAATAGCTTTAGGATTTTTTGAACAGTTATCCCGGATTCACCTGCATCGAATTGAGCGTATAGTTTTGTACTATGTCAAAATTAAATCCGGACACAAGCTATGAGCTGTTTTGAGAATTTGTGAATGATGAGACACGCTCCTTCATGCAACTCCTTTCAGTGTGGGCTGAAGGATCATGGGCTTTGATCTAATGAACCGATCGTGCATGGGCCTGATCCGTGTTTTCTTAGACCGAAGACTTTGGCTCGTTTGTTCCGCGAAAAAAATGAATGATTTGGAGAATATCTTCCTAAAATCGATACGAATAAAAATCATTTTCATCATCTACAACAATATTTACACACAAATTATTATCATTAGTAAAAATATTTTCCGTCGATTAATTATTTCAAGCGACGTAAACGGTAGTTTTTTGGGAAAATGTTCTTCTAAAACATTTCATTTTCTGCGCCTTCCTAATTTCAATTTTTGCACCGATTTTGTACCAAATTACCTAAAAATAAGGACCATTAAAGAATTGAACAGTGGGACAAATGATTACCGCAATTTGAATATCGAAAAAATAGCAAGAGGTGGGGCCCACCGTTTGAGCTGTATTCACGTTCTTTATCTCGATTGGGGTCGGCTCTTCATGATTCCTTTTCCATGTTCTTTTTTTTTATTATTTTTTTTGCCCTACCAGGAGCGCTTTTAATTTTCTTAAAATTAAATTAATTAGCGAGTACTCTAGAGGTGTACAAAATGGACTGCCCGGACCGGTCAGTTTGGTCCGGTTCTCGGGAGTGTCGGTCCGGTTCCTGATTACAAGGGAGAACCGGACCGGATCGATTATATATATTTTAATTTTTTTAAAAAAATATTAGTAAAATGTGAATTAAACCCTAAGTGAACTTCATTGACATTAATTCATTGACAAAAATTAGTAAAATGTGAACTAAACCCAAAATGAACGTTATTGACATAAATTCATTGACAAAAATTAATAAAATGTGAACTAAAACCCTAAGTGTTTGACCAAAATAAATAAATAAACCCTAAGTGACCGGTTCCCAGTCCTAGGACCAACTGGTCCGGTCCCCAGTTCCCAATTTTGGGAACCGGTTCTCGGTTCCACCTTGGAACCGTACCGAACCGAGAACCGATTACCCCTAGAGTGCTCTCTACATATGTTTTTTTAAATATTTTCTGGAAAAAAGAAAATCAATTTTTTTTGAAGCACTTAACCGCGGATAGCAGAGGAGAAAATCACTAATCAGTGCTGCTTGCGGTGGTCGGATTCGATCATTCTCAAGCAAATTCCGATTTTTCTCCGGAGTTTGAAAAGAAAAGAGTAAATTTTAGGTGTCAAATAAACCATGGTAAAATTATACATAAATCTACTGGACAATCTTTGTAGATATTCTATGAGTTCGAAATTAAGTAAGAAATAAAACACGTGATTCACAAGATTTGATGAGAAAAGTACTTCAGACTAAATGGGGCAGGGTATGGTCCACGAGTTTCTTCTTCTTCTTTTTTTATTGGTTTTTCTTTTCGAATGGTCCAAAAGCTTGATCACCGAAAGATTCTGAACGTGCACAGTCTCATTTTCCCTACAAAGCCTGGCGACAAAAGTTTTAAGCCAATATAAAATAAAATAAAAGGGCTGGCAAAAGCAAGTTTGAACATTCCCAAGATCCTTTCCCAAAATATTAAGGGTTAATATCACGAAAAATTTTAAATCAATATATTTATGATAAATTCATCACATATTAATTTTTTGATCATAAAAAATTCCAAACTGATATATTTGTAACAAATATACCCTAAATTAATTTTTTGACAATTAAAAACCCTAAACTTATACATTTGTGACAAATTTACCCTCCGTTAATTTCCATTAAATTGGATTAATACCACAAAAAATCACAAACCAGTGCATCTGTGGTAAATGGAGGGTAAAACCCAAAACAGGTACATTTGTCAACTGCTGCGTGTCATTTAACAAAGCAATTCAACAGTAAAATTTAACCGAAATTAACGAAGGGTAAATTTATCACGGGTTTACTAGTTTGGGATTTTTGGTGGTCAAAAAATTAATTTGGGATAAATTTATCATAGGTATATCAGTTTGAGATTTTTCGTGGTATTAACCCAAATATTAAACATTCGCTTTGGTCCTTTTATTCACTAAATTAAGCGAAATTGCACAACATTAATTGCTGCCGATTCTGTAGAGAGCTAACTCAATCGTCACTAGACCTGCCAACTCACTTTATATCAAGATATATACTAGATGCATGCTTAGAATCAAACCGTATAATGAATTCGAAAGCATAATAACTAATTTATTGGGAATTTATCGTGGCATAAAATTGACTTTTTCCCATGAGTGAAAAAATTTATCACAAGTGTACCAGTTTGGAGTTTTTGATGATCAAAAAATTAATTTATGATAACTTTATCACAGATGTATCAGTTTTGAATTTTTTGTGATATTCACCCTTATATAAACGAGGGATTTGGACAGACATCGTTCACATTCATCCCACTCCTACCCCTTTCTCATTTTATTTTTTTGTGGATCTCTGATAAAATGCATGTCATATCGTGACTCTCGTGGAGGGCAATGTGCCGTTCTTGCCCCATTCGAACTCATTTATGTCGTAATCTTATCGAAATATCCGGCATTTTTCTAGATTTTCCTTGTAAACTAAATCAGTCCTAGGCTGGAGAGAGGCGTGTGCATACCGCAATCCTCTCCTCTTTTCCCTGTCTGAAACCGGCTTTCCTTACAAAAGTATAGGCAGGGACAGGACAGGTATCATCACGCTCGATGATATAATATGAAACACAGCACAGAGGCACATGGCGCTTTCGAACCTTGCCCTTCTTTTCGACGTTGCCATCATTCTTGTTTGGTAAAATGAAATGGGAAGTTTTCTAATCGATGGAAAGGTCGCCACACAAGCGATTTCCGGGCTGGCAAGAGACTAGGACCGCCATTATCGTCTCTTTCGTTCGAATGAATCGTCCAAGTCACAGCAAGAGTTCTCTGCTAAGGCTCTCCAACATCATGCGCTGCTTCTTTTCCACGTGCACAATTTCATGCGCATAGGAATTTCGTCTTTTCGCGAAAGAAAGGTGATTGAGGTCCGAGACAAATGATATTTTGAAAATTCAAGATTCGCATGATTGAGCCCGCTTTGTAAATGCTCCGAGAGGAAACTTGTCAAGAAGACCAGATTAAAGAATAGTGTTGGGGTTGGAAAAACATTGACGATGATGCTGATATCCGCATATGCTACTCGCCACTTGAGCTGTTCAACTCGAGATATCATTACCTTAATAAAGATGTCTTAAGGAGCAAGGGGACAAAATAATAATTGCAGAGGCAAAGGATAGGTTTCCAGGTCATAGTTGTTTGGATTTAGCATATAATACCTGGGATTACCTTCTCCTTTTGAACCGGTCTTCTTTAGTTCTTATTCCCGAGACCTCGGTGGTTCTTTTTAGCCCGGAAAGATCTCATTTTTGTCCCCCCTCATGCAAGAACCAGACAGGAGCCTCCATGACCCTTTGATCCCCAAATCGGAGTCGTGTCGCCGTGATCTGAAAGATGAGGGAAAGCAAGAGACGTTGTTCAAGAAACAGCCCCTCAAGGTCAGGTTCCAAGAAGATGAGCCGGGGAGGGAGTCTGGTGCTCATGGAGGTGGCCGGTTCAACAGATACGCTCTTGCCGGGGCCATCTTGGCCTCCACCAACTCCGTCCTATTGGGATATGGTGAGTCTTGAAAAGTTCCGCATTGATCTTCTCTTGATTTGCATGCGTCTGGTCTGTAGACTCAACCTGTCCGTGATGCACGCATTGTTTTTTTCTGGGTGTCGGATCGAAAGGTTATGGGTGGAACCGATATGAGAAGGTCGACTTTTAATGGTTTCCGAAGGAGCAAATAGAAGAAGAACCCTTTTTTACTGGATTTGTGAAGTTGGGTTGGTCATTGAATTGGTTTGTTTTGATGCAAATTCATTGATTGTATATGGCTGATCTGGTTTCTGCAGATATTGGGGTGATGAGTGGCGCAGCGTTGTTCATCAAAGAAGACCTCAAGATCACATCAACACAAGTTGAGATCTTGGTGGGCTCTCTCAACGTGGTGTCGCTGTTCGGGTCTCTGGCCTCAGGCCGGACCTCTGATTGGATTGGCCGCCGGTGGACCATCATCCTCGCGGCCTGCACCTTCTTGATCGGCGCGCTCCTGATGGGCCTCGCCCCGTCGTTCTTGTTCCTCATGGCTGGGAGGGTGGTCGCTGGGGTCGGCGTCGGGTTCTCCCTGATGATCGCGCCGGTCTACGTGGCTGAGCTCTCGCCGGCGATGACCCGAGGCTTCCTGTCATCGCTCCCCGAGGTCTTCATTAACATTGGCATCCTTCTGGGTTACATATCCAACTACGCCTTATCAGGCCTCTCGCCTGATGTAAATTGGAGGTTCATGCTGGGCCTGGCTGCGCTGCCGGCTGTCGCAATAGGGTTGGGCGTGATGGCGATGCCGGAGTCGCCCAGGTGGCTGGTCCTGGAAGGGAGGCTGGAAGAGGCAAGGCAAGTCCTGGTCAGGACATCGGAGACTGAGGAAGAGGCAGAACTGAGGCTCGGCGAGATGGTCAATGCCGCTTCCCTCAACCCTGGCCCGGCCCATTGGAACGGGCAGGGCGTGTGGAGGGAGCTCCTGTGGAGCCCGTCCCGGCCCATCCGGAGGATACTCGTCGCCACGATCGGGGTTAACTTCTTCATGCAAGCTTCCGGGAACGACGCCGTCGTGTATTATAGCCCGGAGGTGTTCCGAGACGCCGGAATCACCGACCCGCGGCAGCTCACGGGGGTCACGGTGATCATGGGCTTCGCGAAGACGTTCTTCGTGTTCGTGTCGGCCCTTTTCTTGGACCGGTTCGGACGGAGGCCCCTCCTGCTGTTGGGCTCCGCAGGGATGGCGGTGTCCTTGGCCGGGCTGGGCATGGGTTCCACTCTCCTGGAGAGCTCGGGAAGCAAGCCCCAGTGGGCCATCGCGCTGTGCGTGGTGGCCCTCTGCGCCGACGTCTCGTTCTTCTCGATCGGGCTCGGGCCCATCACGTGGGTCTACTCGTCCGAGGTGTTCCCGACGAGGTTGCGGGCCCAGGGCACGAGCCTGGCCATCGCGGTGAACCGGCTGGTGAGCGGGGCGGTGGCGATGTCGTTCCTGAGCATCGCCAGGGAGATAACCTTCGGGGGGATGTTCCTGGTGCTCGCCGGGGTGATGGCGTTGGCAACTGTGTTCTTCTACTTCTTTTTGCCCGAGACGAAAGGCAAGAGCTTAGAAGAGATTGGGGCTTTATTTGAGGATACTAAAGATTGATGGATAGACAGAAAGAGAGAGCTAATGAAAGAGCGTAGAAAGGCAAGAGCTTAGAACCAATTGTATCGTTTTGTGCAAGTTGAGTGATTGAATTGTATTCTATGCGAAAGATCGAGAGTGCAGGAACCCAGTTTTCAATTTATTTCCATATGGTTATCAATCATGTTGTGGTAATGAAAACCAAGCTCAAAGCTTTTGCATTTTGTTGTTATTGTCAATCATGGGGTTTTTCCGTAGGCTTTTCAATATGAATATCATTGGACTGACGAAGTGGGCCTTGGGGGCTTCCGCTTCTCTTTCTGGTGAGCTCTTGTTCTATGTTCTCAACCGGGCTTTGAAAATTCAAAGCTAGAATATGCAGCGGCAGATCATTTTGACATAGGGATGAGCGTAAGGAACTGCTCAGACCGGCTAGTTTTGGACAGTTTCCGGGGGCAGCTGTCCGATTTCCAGTTCCAAAATATTGGAATCGGTGAATTTCAATTCGATTCCCAATTCTAGGAATGAAACCGCCCACCCAGATTCCCGGGATCGAACTGATTCTTCTTTCTTAAAAACAATGTAAAAAAACTCATAATCCGTCTCCCAGTTCACAAAAGAATGCCCCTTAACGTTGAAACGACTATACAATGTTATACGTAACTCACTAATTGTAGAAACGCATTGATTATCAAGTACATCTTTAATTTCATTTTGAACATCAACGACAATTAAAAAAAAAAACGAATATGACAACAGTTCCATTAGCCCCTCGAGAAACCGGACCGGACTAGTTGGCCTGGTCCAGTTCTTGGTTTCTAGAAATGAGAAACCGATCCCTCTAGTCCAGTTTTCTGTTCTTAAAGAAGAGCCTCAAAACCAATGCATACACTACGTACACGGTACCTGGTGGCTTTCAACCTATGGCTTCCCGCTTCCCTCGAGCGGAACTCGTTCAATCGGTTATCGCAAAACTTGCTGCAAAATCCTGGCTCCATTCCTTTGTCCTCGTACATTCTTTCAGACGCTTGAAGACGAGCAGAGTCGAATTCCAATGATCTAAACCCCCTCTTATCTCGACGCAAGTCAACGTGGAAACATCCACCATTTCCGCACTAACACACACACATATATATATATTGGAAGAAATCATGACTTTAGCTGGTCCGAAACTTTCAGAGCCATGGAAAGTCGGAATCATGACCGATGAGCCGCCGGGAGAAGCGTGCGAAAGGCTTAAAGATGTAAAAGGGGGTCTTCGAAGAAAAAGGCGGGTCGAGAAACCTATGCGAAGAAGAAGACGACGAGGGAGATGGGGTTAACAGTAGCATGGATGGACCCTCTTGTCGTGAAGCCGAAATTCAACTTGGAAAGCTGAGTAAAAAGTCTTGTCTGGTCTGGTTGGATTGGGAGGGTATCTGAGGGAGATTTTTGAAGCTGCCGACAGTGGTTTTTCCCCATCTTTCGTCCGTTCTTTTGTTGTTGGGAGCTTCTCCGACTTTGAGATTCTCTCCTCCGCGCACGGACGGACACACGCCGCGCGCACGCATTGATTGATTGATTGAGAGAGAGAAAAAGAACGGGGATTAGAGGCTTGCTTGCGCAGTTCCAAGGACCAAAGAGTTAACTGCCTCGAGAAACCCATATGTCCTAAGCAATGAAAAGGCTTTGTGGAACGGAACGTAAAATACGGGGACATTCTTTGGGAAGAGAGAAGAAAAACTCTCTTCAATTGGGAGGCTGGACATGCGAACATCGGCACGTTAAAATAAGAAACGCAATTCTGTCAACTTGCCAGGTGTATATACTTGGACGGACGGAGCGGCCAAGTCGACAGCAATGCCCCTACAGTGGTGAGGTATCATTGATAACCACCACCAAGGATCCACGGCAATTTTCTCAGGATAATGGAATATTTGGGGATAATTGTCCAAGAAGTCTTGAGCTATTGTAGGACTGCTACTTCAGTCCGAAACATTTCAATTATGTCAAATTAATCATGAACCTTTTGACGATTTGCTAATGTAATTTTCAATTAAAAAAATGTTTTTCAAACTATTCATTTTCCGCGAAACATATGAAGCATAAGTATCGAGAGCCAATCCAAGTACAAGAACCGGATGCCTTAACCCAGATTTGTCGTGCGGATCGATCGCCGGAGTGGGGCTTTGGCTAATTTGGCAATTCCCAAGTTGTGCATCAGCGAGAGATGTTATTTTAGGGGCTTAAATTTTTGCCAGATGAATAGCATCTAAAGATCATTAACGGAGAGCTTCTTCAATGGGGTTTCCTTTTCTTGCGGTTCATTCTTTATGTGTACAGTGTAGTAGATACATCTAGATGTTCCTTTTAAAATGTTGCAAGTCAAAGTTAACCGTTTTGGAGATGCAATAATTCCATCTTCTTGGTCCCCTACGTCTCACCCTGCATGTGGATGGATACATCAGCTTGCTCAGAAAGGCAAGCTAAGGATTGTTTTGAGCCACTACATAAAAAAGAGAGAAAGAGTTGCTTTCGGAACCTCTATCCGGTACGGTGCTTCTCTTGATGTCTCGATAAATGTCAGTCATTGGTAAATCCAAATCAAAATGAAGTTTTCCTTAAAAATCTTTTTTTCAAAGTTATTTCCAAGGAATGATTTGATTTTTCTGGATTTGGTTGTCATTTGTAAATAAGATGGAAGCCATGTTTATGATACTTTCATTAAAAAAAAACTTCGAAAGATAATTTTTTTTTAAAAAAAGGACTTGAATGCAGTCTTTAGTCTAGGGTCTGGGCAGTCGAAACCCAAATCCGGGCAATAAGGGGTTGAGTTTGGGCCTTAAGGCATCCGGATCTCGAGTCTGAGCTGCGGCAACCCCGGTCCGAGCACCAAGGACCTGGTCTAGGCAGCAAGGACTCGAGTCCAAATGGCAAGGACTGAGGTTTGGGTCGAGGACTCGGGTCCAACCCTCAAGACCCTGTTTAGGCACCGAGGTTCGAGTGCAGTCAATACATCCTTGCAATGGCTGAGGTTAAGTTGCATTCTAAAGAGTAACTTCCAATTTGAAGAGGAAAAAAAGCCATTTTTTTTATTGTTATGAATCCAATCATAATTTTTTCGTTGATTATAAAAAACACCCAACTAGTTTCTTCAGCATTTCCAAGTGATCCATATCACACGAAGTGAAAGAAAATATTTTTCAACCGGTCAATATCACGTGAGATAAGTGCATTGGCAGTATTAAAACTTATCACGAATATACAATTGAATCATAAAACTTTCAAAAAGTGTAATTAAATCATAAAACATTTTGCAAAAGTATAATCGAGTACTAAAATTTTTAAAAAGTACAATCAAATCTTAAAACTTGTTAAATTGGTCCAATTAAATCCTTCCATCGATTGCAACTTTTCGAAGGTTTTAGGAATCAGTTGTACTTTCATGACAAGTTATAGGATTCGATTGTACTTTTTGAAAGTTTTAAGACTCAATTACACTTTTGCAATAAGTTTAGGATTTTCAATGCACTAATCTAATGTCATGTTATGGCCGAGAGTTCCTTTTTCTCTTAGGCATCAATTTTTTTTTTACCGGAGAAAGTCTTATATAAAGATTAGGTCGGGAGCCGCTCCCAAGCAAAAGCCTCAGCATGTCCAGCCGGGTTCCAAGAAGAGTTTCCGGATCAAGACAAATCACACGACGACGAAACGATCCGAAAGAAAAGCCCACCGAATCATCGTTCCCCTCTTTAAATTGAAAAAACATCGTTGCCTCCTCATCACTCATCACTCCCCTCCTCTCCCTCGTTCTCTCCCTTTCAAATCCTCCATATCTCCCTCCCTCTCTCTCTCTCTCTCTGTTTCTACCATGGAGAATCGCCTGAAGCTTCGCATCTCCCGCATGTTCCACTCCCCCTTCGCCTCTTGCAAGCCCCGACCCGCCGCCGCGTCATCGTCCGACGTCATTGTCGACCCGCGGTCCCGCCGGAGCTTCCGCTCCGATTCGACCACGGAGCCGCTCTTGCCCCGCAGGCCTCGCCCTCCTCCCTCCATCTGCAGACCCCAAGAGAACAGGCACTGCGTCGATGGCGCCTGCATCGTCCCTGCCGCCAAGGCCGCCTGCGATCGCCCCCGACAGAAGCTGTCGGGCCGCGATCTCCGCAAGGGCCGGTTCTGCCCCCCGACATCCCCCGTGTCGCCTCTGGGCCGGCTGTTCGTCGGCGGCTTCAGGGACGAGTATTACCATCGGCATCTTCATCCCCATCGTCACCGTCGCGGCGGCGGGTTTGAAGAATGTCACAAGAAAAGCGTGACCAAGAAGAGCAAGAGCAAAAGCAAGAGGAGTAGTAGCAATGCTGCTGCTTCCACGTGCCCTTTGAGCATGAGCTCGTCCTCGCTGAGCACTTACTACGACGGCGACCTGTTCAGCAGCGACGACGAGCGAGAAGACGACGGGACGGAGACCCTGTTCTCTTCCCGGACCCTCTCCTCCGATTCCTCCGAGTCCCAGCGCCGCCGCCCCCTCCGGAGGCCAAGCTCTCGCCAGAGGAGGAGGAGGAGAGCGGCAGCCGCTGACGTCATGCCCTTGGGCGAGAACGACGGCGGCAACATGAAGGGTAGCTTCGCCGTCGTGAAGCGGTCGAGCGACCCGTACGGCGACTTCAGGACGTCGATGGTGGAGATGATCGTGGAGAGGCAGATGTTCTCGGCCAAGGACCTGGAGAGGCTCCTGAACTGCTTCCTCTCCCTCAACTCCCACCACCATCACAAGATCATCGTCCAAGCGTTCACCGAGATATACGAGGCTCTGTTCACAAACTGGTGTTGAGAAAAACAGAATGCCTTGCTCTGTTTCTCTTTCGTTTTTTTTTTCTCTTTCTTTCTTTCTCCCTTGCAGTTCTCTGCTAGTTTAGTGATGTTATTAGACGTTCCTAACTGAAATTGACTGAACTAATGAGATGAGTGGCCCCTGTTCACGTTCTCCATTATCGCTTCGCTTCAGGTTTCCCTGATATCCCGATGCTCTGTTTCTGAGGGTCGTGTGTGCGGATGGAGATGAGTGCATCACTGTGCTTTTTCGCTCTGTTTGCTGGGTGATGCATGTGATTATGCAGTTAAGAGGAGCTGTTGGAAATAGAAAAAAGAAGGTGGTGATGACATCGATTTGATGGTCCGTGAATGGATAAAAGACTCGTACCTAATTTTTTCTTGCATTTCTCCTTTTGTATTTTCGACGGGAAACCTGTGGCGTTTATTTGGTTGACAGTCCGAGAACTTTTGAAAAAGATCGGTGAAAAGAGGAAAATAAAATGCAAAAGAGAGTGTCACTACTTTATATTAAATTATCTCGGGTCGCTTATTAATAATATTTACATATTCGTTACATATATGTATGTACGTGTGTGGTCTTCCTTCGCTTGTTAGCTTAAATTTTTTCTGCTAAACCTTTTAATAAATATGTTATGTTTCCATAAATTTTGTTTAGAAAAGTATGACTAAAGATATTAGGGTTCGTCCATTAAATGGGTATGTTATATTATGGGTATCTCTTGCATTATTCTTTTTTTAAAAAGATGTCTTTTTGATTTTGGAATTTAGAGCTGAAGTTGGGAGGGGCAAGAGGATACAGCGGTTGCTTTGCATGGTTGGGCCTTTTTTGGAGTTTCCTTTTTCACACAAATGGCACAAAAATAATGGGTGAAAAGGTGTGACATTTCTAAAAGGTGGGGGGGAGCTCATTGTCATATGGGTAAAATGTAAAGGTAGTCACTTTTTTGAAAGTTTCTGCTATTGGATTGTCAAATGAAGTAGAAAACAGGGGAAAAAGGTTTCAATTTGAATCTCGGGATGTTTGACCAGAAAAAAAAAATCTAGGGATGAGAAAAAGAAAATTGACCAAATTACAATGTGCGTGGAAATTATTGTCTTGTTTCAACCACTAAGCATTTGACCCATTAAAGCTCAATTGAATTCAATATCATTTGATTTTCGACCCTTGATTCCATATCACATCAGAATAGTCATTGCGTTGATAAATTCGAAATTTGATCGAGTTGCTCAGCAATTCCTCGTGTGGCACGAACTGCACGATACAACGAATTCAACTTTTGCCGATCCCATGCCTCTCCATTTCAAGACAATGCTCGCTCATAATCATAACACAAAATGAGCTTGCGAAGCTAAATTCGAAAAGAACGAGGTGCGGGCAATGATCAATGGGCTCAAGATAATCTTCTCTCACCCGAGGCACGAACGAATGCACTCGATAAGATTACCATCCAAAACTCAATTTTCTTGGTTGAACTAGAAATCTACGCAACATTCAAATGAATTCAGCGGCCCGATTGGCATGACCCAAGAGGACAAGGAGGACTCAGGATTTCTTTTTGATCTATTCAAAACATTGGCTTCACATAAGAGACAAGTACGAACATTATGTGTTAGGTGTATCTAATTTTGTAGCATTGCAAAAGTATAATCTAATTTATTAGTACAAACACTCAGCATCGAGCAGAGTTTTGGCCTTTTGTAAGATAGTGAGGTTTCCCTGCATTTTCCATCATTTTTCAATAATGCAGAACCCTTTTGTCTTCACCACTAAACACACCACTAACAGACAATCAGAATTTGACTGAAAAGCACAGTTCTTTAAGTAATTTTTTTTTTATCTTCTGCACTTTTTTTTTCCTAATCCTTTTTTTTTTCTTTTTTGTGCAGTGTGTTAAGAAGGGTGTGTCCATGATTGGGCACAGGTAGGGGGGAAGTGAAAATGCATGCGAGTCAAAAGGTCGCAAATGGAAAAAAGAGCTCTTGCTGGTTCAAAAGGTCCATTTGGTGTTTGAATTTCAATTCTTTTTATTTTCTCAACTTTTTTTTTTTATTAATGTGTTTGTCTCTACAATGTTTTTTTTTTCTCACAAGACCCTTTTTCTTTTGTTGACTCTGACAATATTGTGCTGCTTATGGAGCATAAACAAATGTTTGTGAAATTAATCCAAAAGAGGTAAAGTACATTTGACTTTCATGTGCATTACTTTTTCGCTCTGAGTTTTCAAACAAGTCTTCAAAGCATGTGAAATGCAACACTTATCATGAGTGACTTTATGACTTCCTAGTATTTGAAAGTACTGGGATATGAATGGCTTTCCAATTTTGTATCTAACCATGGAGTAAAAACGATATCAAACTCCTATTTGTTAATCCAAAAGCAATCATACATGATGATTCCGGCCAATGATTCATGAAAAGATAACCATCTCCAGATCTGATTTAAACCTCGAGATTAATAGCTACGTTTCGGAATTTGCCGATACAAAGCTTATTTAACAGATGCTGCCAACAACTAACGACCGCTTAGTGCTTGTCATTTGCTATTTTAACTCCCATATTGAAGAATCGCTATATATTCTTCGATTTAACCGCGCAAATAGCTGGTAAGTGTAATCTCAACATTTCCAAAACTAATTTCAGTCCAGAACTACTATAGGTTGATTGGACATTCTTCACAAAGCTCCAGCAGAAACACCCCCCAAAAAGAAATTTGAAAAAGAGAAACAGAAAATCATCGACACGTCCGTTTCAAAAGCTGCAATGAAAGAGAAGGCACGATGGAATGAGAAAAGAAGGAAAAAAACGGGGGAAGTAACAACAAAAAAAGTCAAAGAGGGTCCCCAAAATAGGTAATTTGCACAAAACAGAGACTCTAGGGAAGCAATGCAGCAACAGCAACCTAGTGGGGCTCCCTTAACAGAATGTAGCTTTCGCTGCGAGCGCCTGAGCAGCGACAGCAATATTACATGGACAAATAATAGAAGGTCAGTTCTGATGCGCTGCAGTGTCCTCCTCTCTGTCCTGTGCTATTGATGCAATGCGAGCATTGATGGTTTTTTCCTCCTCCTCCTTCTTTTCACGATCTTTTTGTGGGAATCTAGGGCGACCTATTTGAATTTATTACAAAGTGGAGGGAAAAGAGGGGTTTTTTTGCACAAATGGGAATGCTGATTAAAGAATGTCCGTGGTGAGTGGCAGCTTAGAGGTTAGGCTTTTTGGGGGGTGGCTCTAATGGAGGGAGGTAGGGCTTTAGTCGTAGCGTAGTTATGTTCTCATTAATGGTCGCATTCTTTTGGGTTCTCGAGCCTCCTCCTCTGTGCAATCTCTGCCGATGCTCTGCTTCTTCTCATTAATGGAGTTTGCATTCTCTTGGGGCTCGAGAATACCCTCTCTCTCTCTCTCTCTCTCTCTCTCTGTTTCCACGTACAGACAAGTAAGAACGATGTCACATGCATTCTGTAGGGTGGTTTGGTCTCTTTCAAAGGTTTTTGTTGCTAATCCCTCCATCTATCTGCTAAGCAAAGATTAGTTGTTAATTGAAAGTCTTCATTAGCCAGCCCGACCCATCATCTGGTCCGAAGGGTGATCAATTGGGGAATTCTTTGGAGGTCTATAGGGGGAAGCAAATAGGCCGGCTTGAATGCTGGTGTTAGTAAACGGGTCGAAATAGTCAATCCCGCAAACGGCATGTTTATTATTCGTGTATAAACAGGTCGACCTTTTATGACACGGATAATGAATGATTGTTGTCAATAACTGTTAGCCCTAATGTTGGAGGTAGTTGGTTAGAAAGGCGACTCAAAATCGTGGTCCTGGCAATATGTGTTAATCATGTTTATAATTAGTGCCGAATTGAGTTTGTATCATTGTAAGCAAGGAAAAAGAAACTTGAGTTTGTATTCCATTAATGGCCTTTATATAACATACCAAATGATTAACTTACCGAGGAAAACATGTCAATTGGTATCTTCATGCTAGTCAAGCATATAATGTCGTGTTGTGTCCGGACTATTTCGAGCGGCATCATTCAAAGTTGCTAGTCATGTTCGAAAACGTATTTTCCAAGATGTGAAACTGGGTCACTTCATCAAAATTGCGTTGTTTGGTTATGTTCGAACCGATTCCCAGGATAATAAGTTTTTGTTCTTGGTCCTAAATGCTTGGAACCAACTCAAAACTAGTTCGGTTCCCAATTCGGGGTTTGGATCTCGATTTTAGGCTATCTTTAAAAGTGATAAAATGTGCCATATTGCAATTTTGGTAAGCTAGAGACAACATATACTTATGAAAGAAACTAATTAAAAGAAAAGTTAGAGATAATATATAGGGGCAGGTAACCCTAGGCCCTTACTACTCTGGCCAACCTATGTAGAGATTGTTTTCTGGCCAACCCATGTAGACTTCAGATAGCACAAAAGTGGAAGGCCTATGTGATGACAACGTATGGCTACATACACATTAGACTAGTGCAAATGTGCTCTACCGAAATTAAAGAAAGACAGACTAGTGCACATGCATCGGTAAGATCATTAAGTAGAGGAACCATATTAAATGAGGCCATGAACTTTTTGCAAGAAAAAAGACAATGTGCGTATGAAGATCGCGTCGTCCACATGTCGTCCACATGTATTGGGTATGAAGTATTTTGCGACATTTATGGAGATTAGTCGAACAAAAGATTCGGATATTTTTATTGTCTAGAAGAAATGGAAAAAAATAAAGATATAGATCATTAAAGTTAAGCTGCACTTTTTTTTATTACTGCTCATAAGATCGAGTGCTTACCTCATTAATTAAGAGGAAAAAGCCGCAAAAAAACTCTAAACTGTGCCCACCGGGCCATCATGATACATGTACTCTAAACTTTTTTCTGCAATGCCAAAAAATCCGAAATTTGTAACTACGTGACACATTTACCTTTCGTCAAAGTAATCTGTTTACATGGACGCCTGATAGCAAACAATGTTGGCATGGTGCCCTCGTGGCTCAAGTGAAATAAAAACGACGTTGTTTTTCCTTAAAAAAATCATCTAATTTAACTTTGACGAAAGATAAATGTGTAGCATAGGTACAAGTTTGAGATTTTTTATGTCATAAGAAATAGTTTAAGGTAAATGTATCATAGTAAGCATAATTTGGGGTTTTTGATATCAAAAATAAGTTCATGATAAATGTATCATAGTAGGCATAATTTGAGAATTTTTGTGACTATTTCCCTTTACAAATTAATGGTCCTAAACTTTGGGCCTTACGGCAAAGTGCGGATGCCAAACTGACCTCTTTGTGGTCCAAATAACTTGAGTGGCCAAAGCCCACGGTCTTGAATGCCCATCTTTTGTTGGGGAGACAATAAACAAACATTAAACATGGCAACTCTCTATTACCGAGGCAATGAGTTGGATAAGACTTACTTTCATGTTGTTTCGACCCTTTGTTCACGAGTTCAAATCCCCCCCTCTCCCCCGTTTGCCCCCACGATCTTAGGAATTCCCAATTCATTTACGGTGTAGATTCGACTTGTGCAATAAACATAGGATAATCCCGATTGTATTTCAACTTGCATCCAGTGGTGCAACGGTGACATCTGCCTCAAAATGAGAGTGGATATTGCTCAAATTGTACAATCCAACCGTAAGTATGAGACCCCTATGGTAAGGCTAAAAGCGTTTGTCGATAGTGATCACCCATTCCTACTCCCTTATAGAGAAAAAAAAAAAAAACATGACCTCTCTCTCCCTCAACCAAACCCACCCCCCCGGCATGTGTTTGTGTGGCGACAAGAAAGTTCACCTTGAATAAAATAAAATATGATCTCGATTAAGCACCTATTTAATCTCATAAATTAGATAAGATACGATAGAAATCCTAAGTTGATAGACAACAATAGCTGAGTTAGAACTTTCAACAAGTGGGAGCAACACGACAAGATATTATTAATGCAAGATGGAGTTATTTATATTATATAGATTAATCAGAGTCTTGTTTAAGTACCTTACTAATCTCATGAATCAGGTAAAATGATACTATTAATGGAGTTAGAATTTTCTGCCTGCAAAGGCAACCCAATTAAATATGTTTGTAGAGTACACAATCCACACGCGACATTTAATGAAATTGCTTGCACCCAATAATTTAGTGAGATATTTAATCCCCAGTGGCATATGCAATCCACACGCGACATTTTTCGTGATCACTAAGCTTGCACATTGATGTCCGACCAAAAAAAAAAAAAAAGGTCCACACATTGGTGCAATTCCCCTCCCCTTTTTCTCTTCTTAGCTACTACACAACTAAACTCCACCAAAATTTTGAGAATTCCGATCTTTAGAAATTAAAAAAATAATTTCCAGGTAATTTGTGCTGTAATTGAAATGAATAATTTGCCGTTCGGACAAATCCAATTGCATGAGCCATTCACATTCGGACACGTGGGGACTTGGGGGCGGGGGGGGGGGTGGGGGAGGGCAATCGTACGGAGCACGGGGGAGTCCTCAGAGACTTGCCGGAGCCGCCAATCACCCGCGCGCTTCCCGCTTTCGGAGAGGTACAAGGCTCCGAACGCGCGACACGTGGCGAACCGTCAATGGGCGAGCGTGCGTTCATCCAGCGAACTGTCACGGTCCGGTTAGATCGGGCGGTTCTCCGGTCGGGATCACTAGCTGCCGATTAAGTTCCCCTGTATACGTGCTTATTATTATTTTTGGTGCGCTCGCGTTACGTGTATGCCCAAAAAAATATGAAAAAAAATAACACGATAAAAGAAGTGTACATGCAAAAGCTTGGCGTTCATAAGATTTTGATACTTTTTACAAAATATTAAAATGATTAATTTGGTCAAAAAAATTTATTGTCACTATATGTACGAATTGTATATATTTAGGTGAGAAAAGAGAGAAATATTTCAAGATTTGAACTCGTTTTTGCATGGTCGTACATAGGATTGAAAAATCAAATTTTAGAATTGGGATACGTAAATGACAGATTAGAATTATTAATTTAAGCACTTGTCAGTAAATGAAATATCTCGAAATACCTATAAAAAAATCAATTGAATTTATATACTATGGGAAGAAAAGAGGTTCGCGATTCCCTCAAGAGTAGGAAGTTCTCTTTGCTACATATGATGTTTAAATAATAAAATGCGGTTATCATGCTAGGAATATATCCATGACATTTCATTAAATACCATCTTAGATTTATTAAATATGGAGCCTACTATCTTGAGTGGGTATTAATCCCATCTTAAGTTTCCATTTTATCACCTGCTAGAGTCGCCCCATGTAACGATCGTCCAAATCCAGCTTCTGCCTTGCCTCAACTCGCGCCACCTTCGCTACCACCGTTCGACTCCACCATCTTCAGCGAGCCCATCACTAAACTCCGCGCAATCGCCACCACATCGACTAAGCCACGGCCTCGGTCTCTCAATTTCTCCCCCTCCTCCATCTCTCACAGCTCGAGTTTGCGAACCCAACTCCCATCGATGTTGGTAGCAGCCTTGATCCTCAAAAAAGCAACCTACGGCAGTCATCAACCCCGATCAACCTTGGCGTCAAGGGAGCTTGGGACTAGAGACCCGGGGCTCAGGCCAGCACAACCAAGACCAAGATTCGAGACTGGCGCTCGACCTAAGCCTCGATCTCCTAGAATTCTTTAAAATAGAAAGAAAAAAAAAAGTTAGAATTTTTTTAGAAAAAAGATAGATTTCTAAGAAAATTTAAAAGATTCTCACATAACAATTGCGACCACTCGAGGTTGGGATCCAATGGTGCTTAACCTACTACTTTTTTGTAAAAATTTCTCCTTACATCCCAATTACATAACTTCTTGGGATCAGGTACGCCTTATTGAATAATTTGGTCTTTGGTCATATAGAGGAGGTAAGACTTATTCTATGGCAAAAAGAACGCCAAAAAATCAACTTTAGAAAAAGAAAATCTTAACGTTTATAAACAAAAGTTATCGGCTCGGATGGATAAAGGAGAAAGACAAGGAGGAAAGCATGCCACTATGCTCGGAAAAAAATGAAGCTTATCAATTCATGTGACTTTTCAACGAGCATATGGACACTTAAGACATGCTTTCTGGCAAAAGCAAAACCTTTCACCAGCAATCGATTTCTGGAGTCCATCCAATCAGTGCAGCTTCAGGGACTGCGCGATTTGCGGGATGATTGGATTATAATTTTATAATGTCAATGTGGGCAGTCCAGAATCCCATTATCGACCAATTTTCGTACCTCGTGTTCCTGTCGGATATGGAAAATCTCATCGCTCGCTACTCTGCGGGGACCACGTGTTCATCGTCTATTAGAGATTTCTCTAATCTTTGCTTGCTTAAAAGACTTCATTCGGACATCAGGATGTCAAAATAAGAGGATATTTCAATCCTCCTACTGGAAGAAAAACAAGCTTGGGAAGAATAAGGGGTGAGCAGGTAGACCGGCCGCCGAGTTGTTAAACAAGGTGTTGTAGCCTGTTCAGAAGGAAACACCCACTCTTGGTAAGGTAAATGTTACCAAACGCCAAGAATCCTAGGACGCTTCGTTGCGAATTTGGTTTGATTCTTTGGCTTGAGAGTGAAATGGATCGTGCACTTGACCGGAAAAAGGCTGAATAGCGATGAAATTTCGTCACATTTTCTCATCTTTTTTCCATGTTATCATCACTTGACCAAAAAAGAAAAAGACCTGCCTTTGAAATCATGTTTATATCTATCCCAAGACAAGACTCCCTCCAAAAAATTGAATTTTAATGACCTTTTTTTTTTCATTTTCCGCCTTAAGTATTTATATCATTGCAATTAAGACTACATTTTTTGAAAAAAAAAATATTTTTAATAAATAAAAAAATGACTGATATGAAGTCCGACAGATATTCTCCCTTGGATTATGCATATGTTTAATTATTCTCCCTTGAATATACTTCCTTTGATAATAAACCTAGATAAATCTTCTTTCTTTTGGGGGCAAAATTGGAATTTGGAAAGGATTCTAACGAGATGTTCCCTCTCACAAATGATGTTATAGGACCGTGCATAGATTTAAAACAAATTCAAAAAGTTAGATACTTTTCTGATAGGATTAAAAGGTTAGGAAAAAAAAGATAAAAACCCTTAAAAAGGTTGGGAATTATTTCGTCATTTGGCCCAAGGAAAAGGGAAAAGGTGCTCATTGCAGTCCAAAGAAATCATTGAGGGAAACACGTTAATCTTTTCATTGACTTTCACTTCACGGCAGTCTTGCATCATGAAGATTAATCGGTTCTTATGGATGCCGCTCGATGTTTTATGGTCTTAGCTTTTCGGTTTTAACTTGAGCGGGAGTACTTGTCATGTCACATAAGACTTACATGAAGGATCGACTGTCGGATCATGGGTGTGCAGGTTTCAGGTTGCGCAGAAATTTGCCTAACCCAGAAACCAATCTTATACTCGCTAGTTCTGAAATTTTAAAATATAAGATGGTGGAACCTATTTGGTGAGCTTTATTATCTACTTTGGAACTTGCCCAATCATGCTGGTTTCACAGGGTATGCAGGATCTTTTGCACACTCCTACCACCAATTTATCTCTACAATAAGTAGTTGATGTGGAACAGTCATTATGTAAATACTGTGTACGTTAGGAAATCGAATTTTATGAAAGCAGTAAAAGAAAAGGTGAACAAAAAGTAAGGAATCTGAGAGATTCAATTCAACCACCCACCAGCAACACCCGCTCCCTCTTGTTCTCCTAAAGGGGCTACACACCAACTCCATCCTTCCAAAGTGAAAGTAAAGAAAGCCTTTCTCCATTTTTGATTGAACGGTCACAACCTTTTCCACTTCCCTCTCTCTCTCTCTATCTCTCTCTCTCGCCTCTTCATTCATGTGGTTGGAGGAATTATTAATGAAGTGGGGACGAAAAGAAGAGAAGAAGAAGAGGAGGAGGAGCGTGTGAAGACAAAAGAACCAAGATGAAGTGGAAGCCATAGAAGGAGATGTAAGAACTTCTTTCGTTTTCGTCCCTATAAAGAAACCCTTCCACCACCAGCTAAAGAGCATATCAGAGAGAGAGACAGACAGAGAGGGAAGCCTGGAGAATTTCTCTTCTCAGTTTTCCTTTCTAGTTTTTTTTGCAGGCGCAAGGGAAAGCTCGTATCTCTCACTTAGACACGCACGGAATCCACCATTGTGGCCAAGGCCCAAGGATATCGATAATATGCTGCTCGGGAAGTCCCTTTCCAACACCAAGAAGTTCTTCCAAAGGACTCTAAAGAGCTTCAAGTCCTTCCTCTCCGGCGGCACTTACCAAAAACTGCCAAAAACACCAAGCCCCTTCGTCAACCCTTATCCCAATGCCAATGGGAGCACTGTGTACCCTCCTCCCTCCAAGGACTCGGACCAATTCTACGCCGACTTCACCGATCGATGGGACTCCGACAACGGCAACCATCATAAGGCAAAGAAGAGAGGCAAGGACAGGGCCGTCATGTTCATGGACACGGTTCAAGAAAAGGTGAACCGTGAAGCGAATCCTCCTACGCAGTTGTCCTCGTCCAGGCCCACGACTCCATCGATGAATGACCGCAGGCAGAGGAGAGAATTCCCAGGCAAGAAGATGGTGAGAAGCAGCTCTTCCCATGCCAAGAGGAGAGAGGGCTCATCATGTTCCGAAAGTGTGAGGGAGGCGAAGAGTGGCTTGATTGCACAGAAGCTGAAGGAGCTGGAGAAGATGGACATGAGCAACATTGATCACGTGCTAGACATCGAAGAGGTCCTTCACTATTACTCTCTCCTCACTTGCCCCGCCTATCTCGAGATTGTCGACAAGTTCTTCACCGAGATGTATGGCGAGCTCTTCGGGGTGCTGACGCCGGCAGCTCACGCAGGCCAAGGCCGCAAAAGATGAAGTCCCTTTGCTTTCACCTTTCGGTTACATCGGAAGACACCGCGAGATGACACCGAAAGGGGAAATGAACTGGGGTTGGTAATGTTGTTGCCATGGCTCTTTCACTTGAGGCTCACATATTCTCAGCAACAGCTAGCCTCAATTCCTACTGGGGAAATTCCATGTCCTCAAATTCTTTGTGGAGCTTTCCTCCTACATTTGGATGTACATTGTAATTTTTACTGATCTGTTCATATAGATTTGCCTCCATAGCGTGGGTGGTTTCTCTTTGGAGTGCCCCCACTAGACAAGCGTTTTCTACAATTGCAATAAGATACGGGATTTTACTGCATAATTTAGATTGACCAAGTAAAAAGCTAGCCGCAACAAATTTCAAATTTTCTCTCTTTGCTATGCCACCGATGTGAATTATCATTTTACGTGTGTATATACATATTCGTTCCCAGCGTATGTGTACGTCGATTGAAAAAGTAACCTCATACACTAATCGAATCGATGATAGAGAGCTAATTACGGGCAAGACGGTCCTTCAGATCCTAAGAGCAAATGGGCAAAGTGAAGCTTGGTGATCCGCTTCCCTTCTTGGCACGGCTCACACAGGTAGGTCCGCTGAGGTTCGATCATTTCTGTAAGGAATGTTTTATGCGATTGCGACGGGTCAGGACAAGGATTTTTTTAAGGATTATCTATCTAGGGCACCTATCAATGTGATCTAAGATACTCTTCGAATGTCTGACACTTCTTCTGCTAGATATAAAGCACGGTTACCTACTATACGTATGACTAAAGCAATGTCTCTATGCTTAGGATAAATTATCACACCCGCATAGTTCATATATTTAAGTGCATTTGGATCATTCAATCTGTCGGTGCACCAAATCCGGGATAATTTTCCATAAAATCCTAAACCTAGTGTACGACAATCAATTATGTTCCAAATTTTTTGATTTTGCCAATTTAGTCTTAAACATTTTGTCAATTTGCCAATGTCGCTAACGTGGCTACTGGCCTTCCTACATGGCGCAGCTGATGCTGACATGGACAATTTTTTTGTTAATTTTTTTTTGAATTTTTTTTTGTTCTTTTCTTTTCTTTTCTTTTCTGTTCATTGTTCACTCCCCAAAATGGCTGGTGGGGGTGTCCAGAGCCTTAGCTAGGGTCGTGACCTCGCCGGCCCTTTTTTGGGAAGTGAATAGTGAAAATAAAAAAAGGAAAGAAAGGAAAAAAATCAAAAAAATTATAAAGAAATTGTACAAATCATCTACATTAGCGTTGGTCATGCTATATAAGATGGCCGGCAGTCACGTCAAATGGTTAGTGGTAGTCAACCACGTTAGCGATTTCCAGCCAATTTTGGCCGGAAGGGATACATTGGCAAACCGTCAAAAGGTTTAAGATTAAATTGGCTAATAATTAAAAAGTTCATATCGTGCAATAAGTTTATAACTTTTTAGACAATTTTCCCCATCAAATCCTATATGGGGTTTCAACATATTGAAAAAACCATTGGATTGAAGCCTCCAAGGTACATTATCAAGTTCTCATCTACTTGTGACTTTTTGGGGAAATGCAATATTTGAAGCTATATCAAAATTAACACACCCATTTCACTTTGTTGGGTATTTAAATAGATCAAAGGAAGGCTGAAAAAAATACAATGATAAATTCGTATATGAGAACTTTATTCTTCTCCTCCAGCACATCATATATCTCTTGGATCTATGGGTTTGAGTTCGTGGTTGAAGAAAACTTTCGAGTGCATTGATGTCGCCTTCTTATGGAGACATTGATTTATTGAGCCATCTTTGCTTTATTGGGCTTTGCTAACAAAACAATCTTCGAACAACTGTAAGGATAATAGCTTGTTGTGAATTACAAATTCTTGAAAGAGTGAATCCCGCAACAATTTATAATTATTTGTTATTTGATTTTTTGTGGTTCGGGACTAACTATTATTCCCATAGTAGATTAAAAACTATCACCCAATCATTTCTCTTCTTTATTCTAATTGATTTTCTCCATTTTGTATTTTGATTTTGATGTATTGTAGCCTTATTCTACAACACTATATATCTAATATGTATTCAGATTTCTGGCTGATGGCTCCAAAGCTCTTGCCTGCCAACATAATAATGGTTTGGCAGAACAAGATAAATGGTTTCTGAAGATGGGCCCAACAATATAGATAACGGGCCTAAGCCCGAATGAACTGGTGCACAACATTTGAGGACTCAATTAGTGAGATTACAATCATGTGAGGCCTAATGCACGAAGAGCCCATTAACTTCTCTTTATTTTTGAGAAAAGCAACATAAAGTTTCTTAATTTGTACCGTTAGATTTGCATGATGGTATAACAATGAACAAATAGTAAGCCCACTTAGAAATCGCGGTATCAATTTGATCGCATAGGTCTCCCAATTTAATGGTCGATGACCACAATCTCCTTGGAAAATGGGGAATCCTCGCAAAGTTATTAGGATAATCATTAGGACAATCATTTTCTTAAGCTATGGAATAATTAATCATGTCCGCTCATGTGGCCCTTTTGCATAGCCATAAAGATTGTCCGTTTACATAAAAAAAAAAAAAAAAAAAGCAAAATGTACTTTTCTGTTCTAAGACCGAAATTTGAGGAAAATTATGAAAAAATAAAATGCGAAATCAGTATCTATGTTTGAGTCTTGTGAAACTTTCGGGAGTTTTAGATTTAGAAAAGGCCAAAATGCACGAGCTGCAGGATTCATATTAATTAAGCAAAACTTAGAATGCAATTTAAACAGAGCAATATATTTTGCGGTCATTGGCATCACCTAAATTGTTATCTAAATAACTTCATATTTGCGATTCTCCACTATTAAAGAGAAAGGATTCTCATGCATGAAACAACATACCCGCTTTTTAATTTTGAGAAGGTGTAAGTGCGGATTGGCCCGTCAACGCCACGTGATAGGACAAATATATATCAACCTATCGGGTTGATCGCGACTAGCTATCGGATTCAAGATTCATATTTGAAGATTCGGCTTCTCTCACCCCCATTTTCTCGAGAAAGTCTCTCAATTCAAATCCTACAAGACTTCATCACCAACACGACACAACACAACCACACGTACAACAAGGGGAAAATTACCAAAAAAGTCCTAAACCTTTTGTAATTGTGCCAATTCAGTCCTAAACTTTTTTTTTTTGCCATTTCAGTCCTAAACCTTTTACAATTGTGCCAATTCAGTCCATCCGGCTACTTTTGGCCGGCCGGGCCGCGTGGGCCGCCCGTGACGTGGCATTATTTTAATATTTTTTTTTCCTTCTTCCCCCTGGCGTCCGGCCAGGGGGAGGCTCGTCGGTGAGGTCACCTCGCCGGCCATGGCGAGGTCGAGCTCGCCGGCCATGGGCGACGGTGAGGCCTCGCCCAGATCTGGCGAGACCTCGCCGTCCCCCATGGCCGGCGAGCTCGACCTCGCCATGGCCGGGCGAGGTCGACCTCGCCCATGGCCGGCGAGGTCGGCCTTGCCATGGCCGGCGAGGTCAGCTCGCTGGCGAGCCTCCCCCTGGCCGGTCCGGCCAGGGGGAAGAAGGAAAAAAAAAAGGGAAAAAAATATTAAAATAATGCCACGTCAGCTGGCCAGCGTCCACGTCAGCGCCGATCGGCCAAAAGTGGCCGAATGGACTGAATTGGCACAATTATAAAAGGTTTAGGATTGAAATGGCAAAAAAACAAGTTTAGGACTGAATTGGCACAATTGCAAAAGATTTAGGACTTTTTTGGTAATTTTCCCTACAAAAAGTCTTGTTAAAAGGTGATGGAGATGGCCTAGCTGAGTTAGAGAAAGAGAACTTTTTTTTTTTCCAATCAATGTAAATATAGTGAGCTCTAACCGGAGGAGATCTGCCTATTGTGGCCTCTTTCTCAAGATGGAGCACAAGATGATGATGATAAACCCATTTAAGATTAACGAGGAATCTTGGAAAGGCCTCGAAGTCTTCTTCCCCAAGTGGACTTAACTGCGACGTTTCCAAAGCATATATATCCCGAGAAGAAGATTCCCTCGCTGTTCCTTTGAAATTCCAGCAGCTAAAGGACAATTTCAGCTCGCGAAACCAGGATCCTTTGAGCGATTGTAAGTTTTTTTCCATCAAATCATAGGATGCTTTCCCAAAATTTTCAAAGCTGATCCTATGTGTGGTTGAATTTTAGACTAGTTATTGAGCCCGGAGGGTATGATGCGTAATGGCCTCTAGTTGTGGACTTCATGTAGCAAGCTTATCTACTTTGAAATAGGTGAGTACTAATCGAAGGCTATGTGATTATTTCACCGGCACGTCCATTCCTGATAGGAGGCATTCCTTCGATCAATTGATCTTTTGATTGGTGGGTTACAAATATGGACATCATTAATGCTGTATTTCATTTGCCCAAAGTTCCAAAATCGGCCCTTTTTAAGTACTCAATCCCTTTTCTACCCCCATCTCTATCAGAACATTTGAGGAAAACCCCAAAAGAAATGTTTTCTGTGTTTTGCTGTGCATACATTAGAGAGGTCTTTCTTTCTGTCAGATTCCGACCTTTGGTTCGTGGACCGATAAAAGATCTAAAACCACTATGCTCTATAAGTTGCGTATCAGATCGTCTCGCCTCTCTTATTTGGCTCTGCAGTACTAAGATTCTTGCAGAGTCTCTCTCAGAGCTAGATCGGATGTAGGTGCACGAGAGGAGAGAGAGAATGTAAAAGAGTATCTTCGCTGAAGATCTTCCAAACTTTAATGAGAGACTCCACAACACGTGGAGCGAAAGATGTTCATATGATTGACGAAAGACGAGTCGCCAAAGTGGGTGGTCCAAACGTCCACAGTGAAAGGTCATCGAGAGGGTACGGCATAAGGCCGCACTAAAGACCCTCGGTTGATACATTGGTCCTTGAATCGCCTTCTTTTTTTTTATGTATATTCACTCTATACCGTCCCACGACGTTGCTAAACAGATTAACAGTAAATCGTTATACGAAAACTTCCGCTTGCATAATGGATTACGAGACGGCTTCTAACGGCTAAAGTATAAGCTGTCCGAGGATCGATGTAACCTTTTATTCTTGGGTTCATGTTGAATGTTTTGCACGATCCGAATCATGTGTATGGTGAATCTTCTGAACTGTTGATGCACTCTCTCTCTCTCTCTGCAAGGAGTAGTCATATTCATGTCTGTTAAAGAATCTCGCGCCTGCATGAGTTGCCCTTTTCAACACCACGTGATAAAGTTGCACTTCCTCTTCGTACTTACCCCCTTCGTCGTTTTGCCATTTTGGTGGCGATTAGATAACTCTTGGTTGAATTAAAA